CTCTACATGGTGATTTAAGGACAATATTACAAGCTGCCAAACAAATAGGTAAGTGGTAATTTAGAGTTAGCCTAATAATTATAAATCATAGTTCTGTGTTATCCTGTTTGCAAAAGTTCATAAAAGTTACAAGCCCATATACATTTTTATGAGTCCACCTGCCTACACATACCTGTGCTCACTTGTTTAAGAACATAAGAACATAAGAGACGCCAATGTTGGATCAGGCCAAAGGCCCATCCAGTCCAACACTCTGTGTCACACAGTGGCCAGAAATACCAGTGCCATCAGGAGGTCCAGCAGTGGGGCCAGGACATTAGAAGCCCTCCCACTGTTGACCCCCCCCCCAAGCACCAAGAAGACAGAGCATCACTTGCCCCAGAGCCCCTAGCTATACCTTGTGGCTAATAGCCACTGATGGACCTCTGCTCCATATGCTTATCTAATTCCCTTTTGAAGCCGTCCATGCTTGTAGCTGCCACCACTTCCTGTGGCAGTGAGTTCCATGTGTTAATCACTCTTTGGGTGAAGAAGTACTTCCTTTTATCCGTTCTAACCCGACCGCTCAGCAATTTCATGGAGTGCCCACGGGTTCTTGTATTGTGAGAAAGGGAGAAAAGTACCTCTTTCTTTACCTGCTCTTTCCCATGCATAATCTTATAAACCTCGATCATGTCACCCCTCAGTCGTCTTTTCTCCAAGCTAAAGAGCCCTAAGCGCTTTAACCTTTCCTCATAGGGAAAGTGTTCCAACCCTTTTATCATTTGAGTTGCCCTTTTCTGCACTTTTTCCAAAGCTATAATATCCTTTTTAAGGTGTGGTGACCAGAACTGCACACAGTATTCCAAATGAGGTCTCACCATTGATTTATATAGGGGCATTATGATATTGGCTGATCTGTTTACAATACCCTTCCTAATAATCCCCAGCATAGCATTTGCCTTCTTTATTGCAGTCACACACTGTCTCGACATTTTCAGTGAGTTATCTACTACAACTCCAAGATCTCTCTCTTGCTCAGTCTCTGCCAGTTCAGACCCCATCAATGTGTATTTATATTTAGGATTTTTGGCTCCAATGTGCATCACCTTGCACTTGGCCACATTGAACCCCATTTGCCATGTTGATGCCCACTCGCCCATCCTTGACAGATTCCTTTGGAGTGCCTCACAATCCTCACTGGTTTTCACTACCCTGAACAACTTCGTATCATCCGCAAATTTAGCCACTTCACTGCTTACTCCCAACTCCAAATCATTAATGAACAAGTTAAAAAGCAGTGGACCAAGTACTGACCCCTGCGGTACCCCACTGGACACTACTTTCCAGTGGAGGGCCAGGAGAGAGCAAGTGACAGACTGATATGAAGCAATAGCTGTATTCAACTGTCACAGACAAATGGAATTTTGTCAACAATGGGCATGAACACAACTTTTTGCATGCTCACAGACTCCTCCCTTGCCTCAGCAGCAGAGTGCAACGGAAGGTTTCTGGGTTTGGGAATCCCTGAGTCAAACTAAACAAATCCAGGGGGGCGGGGACGAATTCCAGTTTGTCAAGGCACCTGAATTCAGACACCATGGTGAACTGCAGTTTTATTCAAGGCTTCTGAAACCTTCAGTGGCAGCCCATACACATGGAGGAGGAGAGCTGAGCAACAAAGCTGTGTTCATATCCATGCAGCCATGAGTATATGAAATGTGCTCATAATACCTAAATGCTAAGTGCTATGATTACATGTTTTACTGTTCTTAGCCTCTTTTTGCATTATATTATCTTGCACTGTACGGGTATGAGCAGGCTACCTGAACTGAACCTTTCATGCAGGAGCTTCACAGAGAGGCCTGCAAACTGCACAGCCACCTCTGCAGAGTGTTCTTTCAATGGATCCAAGAGCTGACAGTGTGAACTACAATCCTAGCAGTGCTTTTTGCATGTTTTGAGACACAGGAATGACTCACAGGACATTGCCCCACACATGAAGAGAAGCGTGTGATGAGAAGCGGCTTCAAGAAAGGAACTTCTGCGTTCTTGTGCAAACAGAAATACATGAGCAAAATATTTTGAGTATCTGCTGCCCTCCAGAGGAAAGGACTTATTAAAGCTCAGAACTAAAATAAAGGTGCCCAGAATGAAAAAAATGTATCCAATCTGCTGGGTCTTGGTGTTTTAGAGAAAGCTGTATGGCCATGTGAGTTAGTGTGGCAAGTACTGGATATGAAGGGAGGGGAAGCAGTAAGGAGAGGAGGAGGAGGAGGAGGAGGAAGAAGAGGAAGAGATTGGATTTATGCCCCGCCCTTCACTAATTGAAGGAGTCTCAGAGCGGCTTACAATCCCCTTTCCCTCCCCCTCCCCACAAAAGGCACCCTGTGAGGTAGGTGGGGCTGAGAGAGCTCTTTTGAGAACTGCTCATGACTGACCCAAGGTCACACCAGCAGCTGCATGTGGAGGAGGGGGGAATCAAACCCAGTTCTCCCAGATCAGAGTCCGTGCTCCAAACCACTACACCAGGAAGGTATGGATTCAACCTCCCACCTGACTAATGAAGCTCATGACTCTGAGCAAGCCACATACACTCAGGCTAGAACACAGCTATGTTGGATGAAGCCAATGATCCATCTAGTCCTGCACATTGTGACAGTGGCCAACCAGAAAGCCCTGGAAGGTCTGCAAGCAGAGACCAATGCCTCCCCCCATTATTAAACCCCAGAAACTGGTCTTCCAACGTATCCAGCTTTTAAGTACAGAGGTTCTATTTAACCATAATAGTTAACAGCCAGTGATGGATATATCCTCCAAGAATTTATCTAACCCTGATTGTTTAAGTAATCTAAGGTAGTGGTGGTGATTACAACCAGAGTTGCAGTGAGTTTCACAAATTTATTATACAATGTGCAAAGTAATATATTTCAGAAAATGCCAGGAACTGGAGGTCATAGACTCTGAAGTCTGGCCTAGCAACCCACATTGCTCTTCTGGGATCACACAACCTCATTTCCCAATGCTGCTGGTGCTAAAGTGCGCTATGACCATCGACTCTTCCAGTGTGCTACCTACCAGGCTATCCAGGCAGTACGTGAAGTTGGCCTGCATGCAAGTCTCATTGCCAAAACACCTATCACAAAACCCACCTACCTGCCCTCCTCCTTTCTGAATCTCTGACTAACAAATGCCCTCCTGCCCCAAACCCAAAAAGAGTACCCTCGGTGCAAGGCAATATTACATCATCATCTGAGGAATGAGTCTCTGAGGAACAGTTTCTCCTCCTCCTCTGCCTGGTATGTTCTCCTGTCCCAAGATCTTCAATCCCCTTGTCAGCAGAGGAGCTGTAAGCGTGGGAGCAGGATCCTTTTACTGGGGTCCCTGAAGTCCCATCTACAGGCTTCTCTGCTTGTCGTAGCTTCTCCAGATCAAGCAACCTCAGCCTGAATGGTTGGAACTCTCTGTCTGACAACCTTTATCAGTCACTGACGTCTGTCCAGCAGGCTGAAGCTAACACACTGGGTGCGTTCAGACGGGGCATTTAAAACGGTATAGGTGCCCGTTGGAATCTGTGTACTTACCGGCGTTCACACGGCGAACATCTGCCTTCCGTCCCTAACCATTGCAAAGAGCTTTAAACCGTTGTATTCTGCCACTAGGCCCCCAAGTGGTGGTATCCTGAGTGCAACGGTTGTAATTGCTTTCCCCACCGTCTGATCGCTCTCCACCATTGTAGAGCCACTTCTGTTCGGAAGCCCGAGGCTTCCGATTTTCGCCCGCCATTTTTTTTTTAGGTTGGCAATATGCGCTTGGGCGAAGCTTCGCCCCAGCGTTTGTTTTTTAAAAAAAGAAAAGGTCCTTAGTTTAACGTTTTAGAGGAGTCCGGGACCTCAGGGAGGCCAGTTTGCTCTTTAAACTTTAAAGGTAAGTCCTCTCTTCAGGGCATGCTTTTCTGGACGTGGTGTTTTGCGCATGCACGAAGATCACCATTCTGTGGATGGCTGCCTATGCACATGCGCAAACTGAGGTTTTTTTTAAAAAACCCACCGACGCCCGCTGTGTGTGAACGGGCATACAGCGATGGGCTCCGCAGACAGGAGGTAAGTGTGATCGCGTTTCAGCCGGCATAAACTACAACGGTTCCAACCGGTACAGTTTATGCCGGCTGAAACGCCCCGTCTGAACGCACTCACTGTGTAATACACTGGTTATGGCCATCCCCCTGATGCCCTGCAAAGGCGTTTATTCAACTGCAAAATTATTCAAAGACCTCAAGTTCTTGTGAGGACAGAATGGAAGAGTCCTAGCATACACCGTCACACCTTAATTACTGGATAAAACGTTTAAAAAATGACAACACAAGTGTGACACATGACAAGCTAATTTCTGGCCCAACAAATCAGCAGTCACCTATTAAATAGGCATGAGGTTGCCCTGCTGGTTGCCAACACACCAACCCTGCTGGTTGCCAATACACCTTCCCAAAGCAAGAACACTGCCTGATGCAACAACTGTATCGCAGTCTACGAAGAGGGATTCACTGCTGGGAAAATTTGCTTGTTGACACGTGGCCCTGCACCCAGGGACTCCCCACCTCTTCTAAGGGTCCTGGCATATCCTTCCATGTCTCCTCTCACCTTCAGTCCCAGTTTGCCTAGCTGCACAAGGAACTGAATACGAGCAAAGATGCCCACACATCAGAAGTATGCTCATTTCATGTTTATAGGCCAAGGACAATCAACGCTGAAGAACCTTTCCCTCAAGTCTGTCTGCAACCATACAAGGTTTAGACATGCACATTACAGCGCCTAGAAATCTGGTGCATTTTCTAAGGAAGCAGACAAGCTAGTGCAACTGGGGAAAGGGGGGGGGAGCATTTTAAAAGGTGACAGGGAGGCTCAGTATTCGAACAAAACCTCCAAAGTTCCATCCTCCGCATTGCTGGATTTAAAAGAAGCAAAGATGCCAAGCTGGACAGGCGGGGACAAAGGAGGAGAATGTACGCATGTGTTGCCTACCTGACAGCCTCTGCCACGTTGTTAGAAGTGTGACCTGATAAAGCATCGTGCAAGTTGCGGATAAAATAATCTCGGTATTCTTCAGGAAGTGCCATGAACGTTCCACCCATCACTATGAATTCCACTTTGTCAACACTGTGGCCGAGCTGCTTCAGCTGCAAGAACAAGATCAGCCCATGAGACGGTGGCCTCCGTGACTTGAAGAAGCTTTTTTTGGGGGGGGGAGACAGATAAACTGGCCTGCACAAGCCCTTGAGTGTACACTGCCCTGGAGAAGAAGAGGAGGAGATTGGATTTATATCCCACCCTTCACTACCCAAAGGAGTCTCAGAGCGGCTTACAAACTCCTTTCCCTTCCCCTCCCCACAACAGACACCCTGTGAGGTGGGTGGGGCTGAGAGAGCTCTTGACAGAAACTGCTCTTTTTCAAGGACAGCTCTTATCAGAACTACGGCTTGCCCAGGGTCATCCAGCCAGGTGCAAGTGGAGGAGTGGGGAATCAAACCCGGTTCTCCCAGATTAGAGTCCGCGCACTTAACCATGGCACCAAACTGGCTCTCTGGAGGGGTAGTTCTGGGTCAGAAGAAAATTTCTCAATTGGTTTTCTCCCCCTTGTGATTCCTCATGGACATCTACTCACCAAAACTGAATAACCAGATATGACAGGGATGTTTGTTTCCTTTTTAATGCAGGTTGAGATCATCTTAAATGTGAGCGCTGCATAAATAAAGTTGTCTGACAACATCCTCTTATCACAGTGGAAAGTTAAGGGGGGGGGGAGACAAAACATGAAGGTGTGTGTCTGTATTTAAATATGTTAACCCTTTCCCAGAATGCTCAAGGCAGTTCACATTTGATAATAAAAACACACAATACTGAGCAATACGCACAGTGGACAGAGGAGGGATAACCATTTTGAGGCTCAGCTGGCCCAGTAAACACAAACTGGGCAAACTGATTAGCTTTTGGGTTCAAATTGCTAGCTATAATAGATCTCAGAGACATACAAAGTGGTAAATCCATGTCTGGGTGGTATTCCTTCAGATTACCCCCTCGCCCCCTCGCTCAGATTGCCAGGAGGTATGGGCTGGGTTGCCATCAATATGCAGATGACACCCAGCTCCAGGGGTCTTGTTGTAGAAAAAGAGCTGCCGGAGCTCATTAGCATAACTCATTAGCATAACTTATTTGCATATGCCACGCCCCCTGACATCACCGGAAGTGACAGAAGGCCACACCCCCTGACATCACCGGAAGTGTGTCAGAAGGCCCGGCTACTTACCCTCCTGCTTCATCCTCATTCCCAAACGGAATGAGGATCGAAGCAGAGGGCGGGGTAAAGAAGGGGCGGGGCTTCACCACGTGACCGCCCCACCCCCTAGAGGTTCTCTTCCGGAGCTCCATACCTGAGAGCTCCCCCCCGACTAGAGCCCTGAAGATAAATGAAATGAAGGGATCACTGCAAAAGCATCTTTATATGTTTGTGCATACCAACAGTATTACAGGGATCAGATGTGGAAGAAAAATCATACAGTCAAAATGGAAGCCGATGAAAATCATGCAAAACAATGCCAACGGGGGGGGGGGGACCAACCACTGCCAGATCTGCATTTTACCATCTTAGGCAGGTTCGGCAGTTGGTTCCCTTCCTCGGCCGTGATGACCTGGCTACAGTGATCCATGGTCACCTCAAGGCTGGACTACTGTAACACTCTCTACATGGGGCTGCCTTTGTCGCAGATCTGGAAGCTGCAGCTAGTGCAGAACGCGGCGGCCAGGCTGCTGATGGGTCTCCCCAAGTGGGAGCACATCCAGCCTGGGCTGAAAGCGCTGCACTGGCTGCCAATAGCGTACCGGATCCGTTTCAAGGTGCTGGTTCTTACCTTTAAAGTCCTACATGGCCAGGGTCCGACCTACCTGAGGGACCACCTTTCCCCACATATACCCCCAAGAGCACTTTGGTTGGGTGATTCCAGGCCCCCGGGAGGGAAAGCTTGCTGCAACCAGGGCCAGATCCTTCTCAGTGGCGGCCCCCACCTGGTGGAATGAGCTCCCAGAGGAGATCAGGGCCCTTCGGGACCTTATGCAGATCCGCAGGGCCTGCAAGATGGAGCTCTTACGCCAGGCTTTTATATAGGGGCCGCCACTATCACTACCACCACCATCAATGGTGGAGATAACAACGGGGTTAGGGGCAGTCCCCAGAAGATCTGCCACAATCTTGCATGGCACTGATACCGCTGGACTGGCCTTGGACCATCGACAGGACAATATCACCCCAATGAAATGATTGATACCATCTTCGGAGACCATCTTGTTTGTATGGAGCACTTTATTCCTGTTTTTGTTGTTATTTAATGGTTTTACTGTTTTATCCTGTTTTTATGTATGGGCTTGTGCCCTCTTGTAAGCCGCCCTGAGCCCGCTCGCGGGGAGGGCGGGGTAAAAATGTTAACAATAAATAATAACTAAATTACAAGTAGGTGGGAAATTGCATGGTTGAATGCTTCTGCATGAAAAAAAGGGCCCTGTACATAGCCAACTGCCCTGACCTGGATACCTTAGGCTAGCCTGATCTTGCAGATCTTGGAAGCTAAGCCGGGTTGGCCCTGGCTAGTATTTGGATGGGAGACCTTCAGTGACTTAGAGGCAGGCCATGGCAAACCACCTCTGAACGTCTCTTGCCTTGAAAGCCCCATGGGGTCGGCCTAAGTCAGCCATGACTTGATGGTACTTTTCACTATCACCACATTGTCAATTAGCATGTCAAGAATGCTTGGTCAGAATCCCACACCCTGATATGATGGGTTTATATGAACAGGTGGCGGTGGTTGTTTTTAACAGAGGGGCATTCTGTCACAGAACCTCCCAACCTGCCATCCAAAGTGCAGCAAGAAAGTCCAGAAACAGGTTCACCGCCTTACCTGCTATTTACGTGAACAAGTCCCATTTATTCATTTTATTAAATTTGATTTTTATATCACCCATTCTCCGTAAACAGGGCTCAGGGCAGTGTACAACAGTGAATAAAACAACACATCGTATCAGTTAAAACATTTAAAATTACAATAAGACTTCAGTCGATTTAGATCAGATGGCGATCTAGATTTCCAATTATGGTACCACCTTGCGGGGGGAGGGTTAGAGTGCCAGCCAGATGGACACTGTTGCTGTCCTCAACCGAATGCCTGGCAGAGTATCTCTGCCTTACATGCCTGCAGACCTGCATCAAGTCCCGCAGGGTGATCTACATATAGGTTCTGCCACCCTCACAGCATATGGTCAGCAGGAAAAGCAGGAATTTCTTTTAGGACAGTTATTTAGGAATAGTTAGGGTGCTAAAGATTTGACATTGGGTCCTATGAAGAAAATGACCAAGACTAGCCCATAGAATGGATCTCTTCCCCCCCCCCAAAAAAAAAAAACCTCCATAAGCTCTCTGAAAACCTGTTAGTGGGGGCTGAGGGACACTGGGAGATGGAGCGGAATGTGATAAGGGGACTGCAACTTGTGGAAAACCTGGCAGAAATCTCACACACATACACACCCTGGCGCATGCTCTTCCATGAATGGAGCAAAAGTATGTATGGCAAGAGAGAGCAATTTCTACCAATTTCCTCTCCCTGCAGAAGTCTAACATGGCACATCTCACTCTTTTCCTGGGTGATCCCTGACCGTCAAGAGCAACTTTTCAGGTGACAGAGAAGGCAGCAGAGGAAAAGGAAGGAGGTCCACTCTGCCAACCCATTCTTTCCTTACTATGGTTCATAGGATCCAGTTTTATATATCCATGTCGTACCTATCTAACCTAAATTCTTTGACCAATGATCTACGTTTTTATGACTGTTTTGGGGGTTATAACAATTTTGGGTAAAAGGAGGAAATACACAGATGGAAATTTTTAGGTTTCTTGAATACAGCATTTTTTAAAATGTCATACTAACTGACATTTGATTAAATATGGAAGTACAACTCATAGGCCACATGCTGGGGGAAAAGCTACAATAAAATGTTAAATATAAAAAAAGCTCCCACATCCTACCAGATTGCAAAGATTAAGGGCCTGGATATTGCCTGCATCTTGGACACTTCCCCCTGGAAACCCTGCCCAATGTTTTCATAATGAGGCTTATCACCATAAAGACAGCTACTTCCAACCCTGACTCTGCAAGAAATAGTCGCTTAATGAATCAGTGATGCAACCTGTGGAAAACAACATGACACTTGACAAGAAAGCAGGCTATGAATCAGAAGGTTCACATTTTTGCAGAGCTGGGCAATTCACCAAACCCTGGCTTGCTCAGTTTCCTCCCTTCTTTCTGCCTCCAACATTCAGCACTAAAACTGTAGCATTCCCTCCCCAAGGAAAATTATCCATTCCACGCGATCACTGTCTTTTTTGCCAGCTAGTGAAGGTTTCTGTTTTGTTTGGCGTTCTCTTATTGATGCTCCTTCCTGTTTATGTTTTTAATAACTGCTGTTTTAAGCATATGTATTGATTTTAAAATTGATTTTTTAATATATTTTAACTGTTTGCCATCTCAAAGGCCTTAACTGAGCAGAAAAATAGTATACAAATAGTTTAATACAGTTACTACGTCCTGTACAACACAGCAAAAATGAGGCCTTCACTCTCCACTTCACCCTACCCTTTGGCAAAACCAAGGGGTATTCTGGTCATTGCTTGCTTTGACAACTGCAAACCACAGTTGTCAAATTCCTCACCTCTACAAACTTCTCACCTCTGGCCTTCGCACCTTAGCCCTCTCACTTGTGTTCTGAATTCTGCTACAAAAACCATTCACCTCACCTGCTGGTAAGAACATGTGCTGTACCATATCAGCTAATATCAATGCCTCTATTGCAATGGCTTCTGGGAACAATTTAATTAGCTACTTCTGATCTATGAAGCCCAGTGCTGGAAGCAATCCAAATTTAGAAGAGCATGTCCTCCCTTTGTGCTCCAATGGGATCACTGGAGGCAGTATCTATTTATTTAGGATATTTCTACACTGCCTCTTCACAGTCCTGCTTGAGGTGGCTTACCATTAAAATCACCATAATATTAAAGACAAGCCATTAAAACAAACCGCTGGATGTAAGCAGCATAAACACCATCCATTAAACAGAAGCAGACCATTAAATAGCAGGTAAGATTAAAAAGAAAAACAAACCAACCAACAAAACCCCAATTAAAAGCCTGGGTTAGAGGATATGGTTTGGGGCATAAAAGAAAGTAAAGTAGGAGCCAGGGGAGCCGCAAGGGGAAAGGCAATCCAAAGACAAGATGCCTACATGGAAGATGCCCTGTCTCTAGTTGCCACCCACCTCGCCTCTGAGGGCACAGAGAACAGGGCTTGAGAGGCAGATCTTAATTGGTGGGCTGGATAGTACGGGAGGAGATGGTCCTTAAGGTATTCTGGCCTCAAGCTGTTTAGGGTCTTAAACCAGCACGTTGAATTGTGCCCAGGAACAGATGGGTAGCCATTGCATTTCTTTCAGCACCAGAGTGATACCATTCCTGTATCCCACCCCAAGCAGTAGCCTGGCTGCCATATTTTGGACCAACTGAAGTTGCCAAACCATTTTCAAAGGCAGTCCGACACAGAGTGCATTACAGTGATCTGACCTGGTGGAGATCAGAGCATGTAACACTGAAACTAGATGAGGAATGGCCATAGCTGGTTCACCAGCCAGAGCTGATAAAAAGTGCTACGTGCCCTTAAGGAGACCTGAGCCTTCAACTGTAGCACCTTTGGAGAGCAATAGCATAGCCCACTTATGTTTTCAAGATCATTGACATCTGCGGGGGAAAAACATTCATTTTCACAAAGTGGCAAGAGAGCTCACAAAATGCTCTTCTCTTTAACCAGCCATGACTTGCACGCTACTGTCAAAGCAAACCTTTACCTGTTCCACTCGATGCCTGGTCTGGAGATACGGGTCATATCTGGCACGAATGGCCCTCATTGATGTTGGCTAGAAGAAGCAGACATAAAATAAAATTTATTCTTCAACATAATGGAAGCAAGCCGTGCGCAAACGGCCCATCAACATCATGTCTTATACTGTCATCATCTAAAAAGTATGAAATGGTGAATTACTTTCAAAAGGGTGAGCACAAGCCACATTCCTGGAAATGCCCCTGTATTTCACAGATATTTACTGAATATTACAAAGGTGTCTCCATCTAGTGGAGATAATTTTTAATTCTGTTTTTTAAAAAATCCGTTCTGGTTACTCTTGCCAAACAAAATTATGAAAAGCAATTTAAGTTTGAAGTACAATTTTCAACTCTGCTAATTAAGAAACCAGTTCTGGAAAGATCTATGGGAGTCAGCTAGGGGTGTTAGGGCAGCAACATCTACACCAAGGGTCCCCAACCTTTCATAGCCTGCACACACCTTTGGAATTTTGAGAGGTGGCAGTGAGCACCACCCAAATATCGTTGCCACAGGAGGTGGAGCCTAGGTCAAAATGGCTGCCACGGGAGGCAGAGCCAAACACAATACCGCCCACCTTGCTTTCGAAAATAATCGCAAGGCAGCTACACAGAACCCATGAAGATGCCTTATCCAGAGTCCAGTCTGTCTGTTGAAGTTAGTATTATCCACCCCCTGGGAGGAGAGCAACCCTGAAAAAGGAAGGGGTGGGATTCTACTCCCAAACACTTATCTCCCCTCGTGCGACAACCCAGCTCCCTAAACTCTTGGAGTAGAACAAAGCTCCCTGTTTGCCTTGCAAAAGAGCCTCGTGGCAGCAGTCTGTCAGGTCACAAAATCCGTGCCATCACTCCACCACATCCCATTTCATTTCACAAAGAACCCATGAAACAACCTTGTACTGAGTTGAGATCACTAGTTTGCCAAGGTCAGAACTGTCTCTTCTCTGACTGGCAAACAGTCTTGGCGACATTCTATATAGTGACATTCATGTCAATTAAACATCTGGGGAAAGAAGGGGGAACTTTCAAAAAGGTTGCTATGTAGACTTGACGGCACTGCTACAGAGAAGACTTGAGTGAGTGGCTTGCAGAGCACAGGTCAGTCGTTTTGAAATCCACACACGTTTCCTTCACATTTTAAAAGAATAATTTCCAAATAAGAGGATATTATTGCCACCTGTCTTTCTGATGGAATAGAGACACAAATCATCAATGCCCCAAGCACGTAAATAGTTGCCCCTATTGATACTTCCATGTTTATGAAGTCTGAACATATGCACTTCCCCTCAAACAGCAACAACAGAATCTTTTAAAGAATTACCTCATATCCTGTGTAGGACTGTGTTGAATATTCAAAGTCGGAATCGGGACCTCCTGGACAGTATCTGTATCATTCAGAGAAACAACGAGAAACAGTTTAAAGGACTTTTTTCAGTTTTCTGATGGAAAAACAGAAAGTTTGAGGAGCGCTAAGAAAAAACCTCTTATGAAATATTTTTTCTTTTAGAATGAGTGACACTGACATGTTTCTTAAGGCAAAATTTTCCACACCACAAACGTATAGCATGAAAAAGTCTGAGGACTTTCCCCGTTTTTCCAAATTCAAACTCCTACGAGATATTTTCTTTTTTTGAGTGAGAAAACCACTGTTTTACAAAGCATCTCACTTGTGCAAAATGTTTCACATAAAAAGTCAGTGCTTTCTCAAGAATTCAGTGCTGTAAAGTTTCTTTATATTCAAATATAATGACATATTCAAATAATGCTATATTCATTGCCTGCCTATTGTGACAGTATGGAAGGGTTTCTGTCCAAATAATAAAATTTCTTTTCTTTGCTACAGAATTTGTTTTCTATCTTCAACTTCTATTTTTCCTGTCTCTCAGATGGCAAAAATTAAGATCTTCGTGCTGCAGCTGAACAGGGTGCAGTAGCTTACAACTCTTTCTTAAGTACATGTGAACACACACATGAACACACACGAAGCTGCCTTATACTGAATCAGACCACTGGTCAACCAACGTCAGAGCTGCCTGCTCAGACTGGCAGCAGCTCTCCAAGGTCTCAGGGAGAGGTCTTTCACATCACCTACTGCCTGGTCTTTTTAACTGGAGATGCCAGGGATTGAGCCTGGCACCTTCTGCATGCTAAGCATGGTCATACTTACACACATATGTTTCCTGTGAAGTTAATGTGCGGACACCTGTGTGGCTTGCACATCACCGCCACAACAGCTATCTGTAAAACGGAGAATTTCAGAAAAATCATTACCATTTGTGTGTTTTATTATAAGAGGAGACAAATACAGAGGGTATTCTCTACCCACAGCATGCCCACATCCAGTATGCTATCACACACATTAAAGGAAGGAGAGTTAACAGGCCCTTGCTAGTTTAATTCCATTGCTAAACTTTTCTTACAGGTAATATTTTAATTCAGTCTACATTCTCATCATCTACATTCACATTTTGGTCACATTATGAGAAGAGAAGACTCACTGGAAAAGACAATGATGTTAGGAAAAGCTGGAGGCAGCAGGAAAAGAGGAAGACCCAACATGAGATGGATTGATTCAGTCAAGGAAGCTACACCACTCAGTTTGCAAGATCTGAGCAAGGCCGTTAACAACAGGACATTCTGGAGGACATTAATTCATAGGGTCGCCATAGGTCCGGAGTGACATTATTGCACTTAACACACACACACACACACTCTTACCCATTATCCTCCATAACCTGATATCCTGGCTTCAGCCTCAAGAATACTGCATTTGCCACACTGACTGACTAAGCAAATAGAAGACTCACCCCACTAGCAGTGCGGATGGGCTTGGCTTTCAGCTTTGGAACCAGCATCCTGCGGTACTGAGGCGGCACAGCAGCAATGATGTCAACCAGACGGGGCTGCGCTGAAAGGCCATATTTAGCAGCAGTCTTTGTTTTTATCCTGAAATGGGAAGCAGCACAATTTAGTGGCGTTCAACCTGGATATTCCTTAGGAGTGATCAGTACTACTTCTATTCAGCAGCTCCACTGTTCACAGTAATAACATCAGTCTCTCTCTCTCTCTCTCTCTCTCACACACACACACACACACACACACTCATCATGCAATATCTAAAACTATGAATGATGATAGGAGACAATCCCATAGTCACTCCCAGAACAAACACAGCAGAACATGACTGCTCGACCATCAGACTTTGCTTTTAACATAATACTTTTTCCAGTTTTGACTGCACTATTCTACACTACACTACTCTTCCAAGCAGTGGTTCGGTTCAGATAAAACCACAAAAATTTAAGGGAGGAGAAAAGCAAAATAAATGAATTTGCTAGAATTCATTACATTCTACTAACCTGTTCAAAACCTAATTTTGCAAAAAAAGACTTCCTTTTATTGGTGCAGCCAGAAATCAACCAACCCTGCTAATCTTTTATAATACAACAAGGATGAAATTACATATGCCACCCCGAACTCCTTGGAGGAAAGACAGGGTCAAATTGCAATTAAATAAAGATGGATAGATAGCACAGATCATAAGCTCTTTGGGGGCAAGAACAGGCCATTTGCTTACATTACTGGGCACACTAATGTTGCTATATAAATTAAACAAAAGACTATCTTAGCTCTCCAAACCATCACTAACTTTTGCTGCAATGGATAGAGTGAATCTGCAGGAGTTATCACTAGAAATACTTCACTTCGCTGAAGAGGCACATGCAGGGACATCACAGGGGAAAGAAGATGTTGAGATATAACAGCTGGCGCCACTTACTTGTTTAAGTTCACATCTTTGCCCTGTTCATGGGCTTCAATCAGCTGTTTGATGACATCAGCTATCGTCATCATCATGAGCTCAGCCCGGCTGAGATCAGCTGAAAGAGGAATGCAAAGGTGTCAGAAGGCTGTACACAAAGTTACTGCTCTCACACAAACATACAGTGCACAATCTCCTCTTATCACAGGGCCTAAGCAGGCTATCCACTTATCACATTTTTATCCTACCCTTTCCTCCCAAGGCGTTCAAGGCAGCAGACACAGGGATGAAGCCTGTGATCCATCAATGGAAGGTGCTGACAGGTGTGGATCTCTCCAGTGTTCGCTTCCCCCCAGCAGTTCTTTCTGACTCTGGGAAAGCTTACTTCCTGGGGTTGCGGGACCCATATGGACTATCATATCAAGCACAAGGGCTGGGAGGCTGCAGTGGTGAGGGGAAAGGGGGCAAAATCGCTAAGGGAATAGTGGGTACTTTCTCCCACCCATTCCTGCAGCCTCCTGTCCTATGGGGTTATTAATTTACATCAGTAGCCCATGAATAAACTTTTCCAGGTTTGGAAAGCACTGCTGCATAGAGGAGAACAAGGGAAAGATCCATGAGCCTTGCACCTGCTTATCACTGGACCAGAACAACCCTGTGAGGTAGCTCAGTGCGGAACTTAGCTCAAGATCATGAGCTCCAGAATGGTCTCAGTCACCTTTACTGATAAGCCACATCCCTTGTGGCACGTGAATCATTCTACTGCCCCCCCCCCATGTTTCATTTTGCTCAGATACTCTTGTCTCATCAGGATTTCTTGATCATCCCTGCCTGCAAACAGAGTTGGACAGCTATGACCCACTCTTGGACTTTTTTCAGAAGCCATCCCTACGATGCAGAATGGCCTTCCTGTGCACTTCAGGAAGGTCTCCATCCTGAAACTATTTTGAAAGTTTCATAATGCTGAATTATTCAAGAAAACTTTCCCAACATGCACTGTGGCAGCATGTTGATTTTATGATGCTGAACTAGGCACCGGTCCTGGAAGAGATCCTACCTTAGTTCATGGGCAGGGGGAAAGGGTGATACCATGACAGAATTCATTAATTGAGAGGGGGGATTTAAAAAACCACCACTTTTTAACAAATGCAAGAGAGATGGAGCATACAGGAGGAATCAAGTCAGAATGTCCATAAATAACCAGAAACAACCTATACAAACACCCCTATCACTAAACTTATTCGGGGAACAAAGACGATAAAGCAGTGAAGGAAACATCTTGCACCCCTTTTGGTGGTTCTTTGTTTTATTTTAAAATTTCAAGGGGAGAGACAGAACGTTCCAAAGTGTATCAGTAAGGGAGCAAGAGAGAGAAGCGTTCAGAAATAAACCCGCCACGGATCTTTGCAAGAATGACAGGCTATAAATGAAATAATAAATACATACAAAATTGGGGGATAGGTAAGCAGAGACATCCAATTATGTTCTTATTAGTGTTTCCTCGTTAAACAATAACAACAGTTCATTCAAGGGAAATCTATATCCGAAGCAAATTCATAACAAAGTTTTAAACAAATCAAAAGCCCCAACCAAAAGAAGCCTGACATGAGACCCTCCCAGTTCGGGACTGGGGAAGAGGGCGCTACCCTCGGGGCCACGCATGCTCTCCCCTCACCTTTCTTCTTATGCCTCATGGCGAAGGCCCTGATCCTGCCGCTTCTCTCAGGGCTGCACACCTTCCTTGAACCTCCTCCCGCACAGCCACGCACAGCAACAACTCCTCGGTTTCGTCGTCAAGCGCGACTTTTCACCCCAGCCACGCTCCTCCACCACCTCTTCACAACACCGTCGCAAAAGAGAAGGGCGGAAGAAGGGAGCGAAGTTACAGGACTGACGTCATTGCCGCAACGCGCCGGTTTCTTAGCGCGCGGGGTTGGGGGGAGCGAGGGGCGAGTGTTTTGGAGTTTGCGGGTGTGGCCGCCCCATCAAACTTGTTCTTCGCTATGAATGTTCTTTACACGGAAGTAGGGCCTGTCGGCTGTGTCGGTCCATTGGTCGAGCAAAGCCAAGCTTGTGTGTTGGCAGGAGTTCTCCAGGATCTCACTTCTTATCTGATCCGAGGTACTGGTTATAATTGCAAAGTAGGTGCTTTGCGACTGAGCCGTGACCCCACCCACCCCAATGGGCTGCAGCCGTTCAGCTCCGATCTGAGGTGTGTTTACTTGGAAGTAATTCCCATCGAGCTCCAGAAGGGTTACCTGTGGGTGGGGATATGTGGAGAATCACACGACAAAGCTCCTTGGTCCTGGACGCATCTGCTGAGCCCTGTACCCATGTTGTAGTGAATAATACTACTCACTCAGTTTATACCCAACCTTTCTCCTCAATACATCTATAATCAGCATTCAGTGTGCTGGTGATTTTTTGTTTGTTTGTATATGCGTTTTGAGCAATATAGCTGAATGTGTGATTTATACCCTACAGTTAGCTAAGTGTTGCTCCCAGTTTTATTTTTTATTTAACTTTTTCTTGCAAACAGATGTATATGAAAGATATATTTGTGTGTTCAATATAATGTGCGTGTGTGTGTGTGTGTGTGTAGTGTCATCAAGTCACAAGAAGCTGTCAAGGCAAGTGAGAAGGAGAGGTGGTTTGCCATCGCCTTTCTCTGCAGAGCCTTCCTTGGTGGTCTACTTTCCCTGCTTAGTATCTGATATCTGATGAAATTAGGGTATACCATGCTGCCTTCCCTTCACTGTAAGGTGTACCTGACTTTTTCTTGGTTCCATTACAATGGGGCAAAAAAGTTGTTTTCCATTGTGCCAGTTTGGTGTAGTGGTTAAGTGCGCAGACTCTAATCTGGGAGAACCAGGTTTGATTCACCACTCCTCCACTTGCACCTGGCTGGATGACCTTGGGCAAGCCGTAGGTCTGATAAGAGCTGTCCTTGAAAAAGAGCAGTTTCTGCCAGAGCTCTCTCAGCCCCACCTACCTCACAGGGTGTCTGTTGTGGGGTGGGGAGGGGAGGGGAGGGGAGGGGAAAGGAGTTTGTAAGCCGCTCTGAGACACATAAGAACATAACATAAGAACATAAAAGATGCCAATGCTGGATCAGGCCAAAGGCGCATCCAGTCCAACACTCTGTATCACACAGTGGCCATAAATACCAGTGCCATCAGGAGGTCCACCAGTGGGGCCAGGACATTAGAAGCCCTCCCACTGTTGCTCCCCCCCAAGCACCAAGAAGACAGAGCATCACTTGCCCCAGAGTCCCTATCTATACCTTGTGGCTAATAGCCACTGATGGTATATGCTTAGCTAATTCCCTTTTGAAGCCGTCCATGCTTGTAGCCGCCACCACTTCCTGTGGCAGTGAATTCCATGTGTTAATCACTCTTTGGGTGAAGAATGTGCATCACCTTGCACTTGGCCACATTGAACCCCATTTGCCATGTTGACGCCCACATGCCCATCCTTGACAGATCCCTTTGGAGAGCCTCACAATCTTCCCTGGTTTTCACCACCCTGGACAACTTCATATCATCTGCAAATTTAGCCACTTCACTGCTTACTCCCAACTCCAAATCATTAATGAACAAGGTAAAAAGCACTGGACCAAGTACTGATCCCTGCGGTACCCCACTGCTTACCACCCTCCACTGAGAAAATTGCCCATTTATACTCACTCTCTGTTTTCTACTAATTAGCCAGTTTTTGATCCACAAAAGGACTTGTCCTTTTATCCCATGATTTTTGAGCTTACTTAGGAGCCTTTGATGAGGAACTTTATCAAAAGCTTTCTGGAAGTCAAGGTAAACAATATCTATTGGATCCCCCTTGTCCACATGTTTGTTCACCCCCTCAAAGAACACTAACAGGTTAGTGAGACAAGATCTTCCCTTACAGAACCCATGCTGAGTCTGCCTCAATAGATTTTGTTCATCTATGTGCCTACTAATTCTTTCCTTAATAATAGTTTCCACCAATTTACCGATATCGATGTCAGATTGACTGGCCTGTAATTTCCCGGATCTCCTCCTTTGGGTAGTGAAGGGTGGGGTATAAATCCAACCTCTTCTTCTTCTTTCCAGCATAGCTACAGAAGAGACCTGTGATGGAGGAGCCATTGGACACAGCGTGGGCCCACAAAAACCTGCTGCTGTCCTTGGTGAAAGGAGGTGGCATGCTGGCGTTTTAAACTTTCATGAAGTCATCCAGAGAAAGAAAGTCAGAGTGAACTGATGATATAAATATATCACTGTGATAGCAATGGAACTTTGTAAACGGGATCATTTTGACCCAGTCTGTTCAGCTGGGTTGTGTGAGATTCATCCTGCAATTATTGATGTCAGGTTAATTAAAGCTTGGCATAAAAGTGGTGCTATAATCAGATTCAAAAGAATTCAAAGTGCAGGTCTTCTTTGAAGACAGAAGAAGATGTGCAGCTAAAGTAATGCTGTCAGAATGTAAACAGATTAAATAGAAAGGTACGAGGGATGAGTTTCTTGATGAGAAAGGCTGGTGCTTCGGCTAACCCCAATGTAGCCACAAATGGGGAAAGTGGGAGCTACTGATCAAACTGGTGAAGCTTTAGCTTGGGTCCACCAGAGCATTTCTGCAGATGGGTTTCTGCCTGCAGAGTGTGACTTTGCAACCCAGAATGGATCCAATCATTCACTTCTTCTTCCTCCAGAAAAGTTGATACTGGCATCCCCTTGCATTCTTCTCATCCTCTTCCTCACATCCTAGAGGAACTCTTCCACCCTTCTTTTTAAAAACAGTTTCATTAGTTTAGCATCAAGAAGTGCAAACGTCAGGAGACTGAGAGGATACTCTAGGCTCATGAGGAATTTGAGGGTGAGAGCAGATGAAGAATGGGTCTGATGGGTTACAACAGTGACACAACTGCAGCTTCACCATTTGTGGTGGTGGTGGTGGTGGAAAGTGCCATGAAGTCACAAATGACTTATGGTGAACCCCATAATGTTTTCAAGGCAAGAGGTGTTTGCAGGTGGTTTGCCACTGCCAGCCTCTGTGTGGTGACCCTGGATTTCCGTCCATAGCCTCTCTGAATTCAGAGGGGTTTGTTGAGAATGAGGGGAGTCTCGTGTTTGAAGAAGGAAAGCAACTTTAATCTCTTTCCACATTCTCCATGTCCACCCAGTTTTAGCAGAGTAACAGATTGTTTCATGACTGGTGTCCCATCTGCACATTTAGTACAGGAGAATTAGGTGCTTAGGGTGAAGAGAAGGTACAAAGCCCCTCACGCAGGTGCTTTCTCATAGAGGGCCTAGCACAATTTCCATTCAGGTTATTTGCTCAGTGGTATCTCAGAATTCTCCTCTGAGCTCCAAATGACTTTCTTGAGTCAGCAAAAAAAAAGTTTGACTGTGAGAAGCTGAATCTCTCCTGCTCGAAATGCCATTTGTACAAGGAGAAGACTTATGTATGTGTCATCAAGCTGCCACTGACTTAAGGTGACCCCAGCAAGGCAAGTGAGAAGTGGACATGGTTTGCCGTTGCCTTCCTCTGCAGAGTTTTCCTTGGTGGTCCCCCATCCAAGTAACAACCCTGAGATCTGACGAGATACCATTTCACATCTTAACACAAGAAGCTAGCTTATACTGAACCAGACCATCGGTCCATCAAAGTCAGTATTGTCCACTCAGACTGGCAGTGGCTCTCCAGAGTCTCAAGCAGAGGTCTTTCACATTACCTGCTGCCAGATCCCTTAACTGGAAATGCCGGGGACTGAACCTGGGACCTTCTGCATGTGAGGCAGATGCGCAATCACTGAGCCACATCCTATGCAGACTTAGGATAGGTGATACTAGAGAGGGAGGTTGGAATATCTCACCACCTTCTATGTGACCTTAAGAACATAAGAGAAGCCAGTGTTGGATCAGGCCAATGGCCCATCCAGTCTAACACTCTGTCACACAGTGGCCAAAAATACCAGGTGCCATCAGGAGGTCCATCAGTGGGGCCAGGACACTAGAAGCCCTCCCACTGTTGCTCCCCAAGCAGCAAGAATACAGAGCATCATTGCCCCAGACATAATGTTCCATCTATACATTCTGGCTAATAGCAACTGATGGACCTCTGCTCCATATGTTTATCCAATTCCCTCTTGAAGCTTTCTGTGCTTGTAGCTGCCAACACCTCTTGTGGTACCAGCTTCTGGCTACATCACATAACCATTCCACATCACATCCTGTTAATCAAAAAACCCCTATATGTTTTTCTGGGTACAATTCAGTGCTGTCTCTTACCTTTAAAACTCTATGGTTTGGGATCAGAGGACTCGATCATTTATTTTGCTACGGGCCTACCTGAGAACTACAAAAGAGGTCCTGCTCTGTGTACCAGTTCCTTTTCAGATAGTAGATATTTAAGTCCCCATTTGGTAATCTATTTTAGCTTGACAGACATTTCAGTTCAGCCTGTCACGAAGAGGAAAGCCTGTGTGGCGTAGTGATTAGAGCGTTAGACCAGGATTTAGAGGGTCCCATCACTGCCAGGAAGCTCTTTGGATGATAGTCACTCTCTCAGCCTAGGGTAAGAATAAACTGGAGGAAACAGAATCAGGTATGTTGTTCTGAGCTTCAAACCAATGAGGGATAAAAATGGACTAGAAAGATCAGATTGGGGTTCCACCACGCCTTCTGCTAGCAACCAACTAACTCTCTATCCCCTCCCTTCTCCCCCCTTCTGTTCTTTTTAATATTTAGCCAGAAGAAAAGTTCTGTGAAATTTAAAAAGTTTGATCACTGCTGG